AAGCTCTAAACAAACAGTCAAATATTTGTTATTCGATCTAAGTCCTGGACAGAGTGTGAAATAAGAACGAACTGTTAGGTAAGTTTGCACTGCCCACAGCAGCTAACAGTGGTTTTCACTAACCCCCATCTCCTTGTTTGCAATCTTTATTTTCCTTTCACTGGATAACAAAACAAAGCCCACAGTGCGAGCACTCAGCATCCGATATGTTGCTGTTAGTTTGTAAATGTTGTTTTCAGTGTTTAAGTTTAACAACAGAAGAGTACGTGCTTCAAGGTATCGTACCTGTGCAGTAGACTGTTTTAGCTATGGTTGCTGTGATGATGCTGGTTAAGCCTGTCCCTGCTCCTAGTTCTAGGACTGTAGCTCCTCTGAACATGACTGGGTTTGAGAGGATGAAGTCCACCATGAATAATGCCCCACGCCACACCTGACGTGAGCAAAGAAGACATGAGCTGATGCTGTATTTGACTCCAACTGATTATGCAAAGAATTTCATGGTATACTTCAGGAATACACTTCCATTAATATAAGATAAATACTAATGGATGTAGACAATTTTCAAAAAGTCCGTCTAATCCAATTTATTTTCTGGCTTTAACAGATAGATGCAGTGGAGACTGACAGGAAACAGAGAGAGGGGGAGACATGCAGCACAGGGCTGCGGGTCAGACTCGAACCCAGGCCGGGTTGAATAAACTCACCTGTTTGCCAACATCCTCCATGGGTGTGGCCATCGTGTGCTCTGTGAATAGATTGGACACATTTATTAAACACATCCAAAAACTCTCCTCGTGTCTCCAGGTCTGTGGACATGACCCTGTTATGACACTACTGTCACCTTCCCTCAACTGACTGATAAAGTTTGTGTGTTTGTATCCAGCAGCTGTTTTAATAAACAGCTCTGTCAATGAGTGAACAGCATGGGCTCAGGAGATGGAGCAGAAAAACAAACAGTGAATATGAGTTTAAGGAGGCTTGTAGTAGAAAGTGTTTGAACAGAGTAGAAAGTCCTACATAAGGACCTGTCCAGTCTATTTATCACCTAGGATGTCAGACTATTCATTTTTTTTTTATTAATTTAGTCTTAAATTAAAGAAAAAATGTGCAGGTGCTGGTCTGTGTATGAAGTAT